ACAAACCACCACTCACCTCCATCCCCTCCCAGCTGTCACTTTCAATTTTTTTAAACATACTTTTTATTCCCTCCCCTTACTCATCACTCCCCTCCCCCTTACCCCTTCTCGCCATCTTGACCTCAACATAGACCCGAGTGGTGGCAGTGGAAGGCTGCCAGATCTGTAATCGTGAGGTTGCCGGTTCGCTGGATCCGGTGTTGTGTACATAGGAGAGGCACTTTTCACAAATTTGCTATTTAGCACTGTTCTTTCGGAGATGGACTTTAAATTCGAAGGTCCCGCTTTTTCAAAAACCTTTTACAGTGCTGCATGGGACGTTAAACCTATACCGATTTACATTTCACAGACTCGTATACTGGTGACTCACGGCGTCCACTGGCTACCCATGGTGGACAAAATCGTGGTTCTCCGGAACGGCGAGGTGGCCGAGGTGGGCAGTTACGAGGAGCTGGTCTCTCACGACGGGGACTTTGCCCAGTTCCTGAAGGAGTTCTTTGTGGCGGAGTCGGAGGATGAGGAGGAGGGAAAAGAAGATCCTGAGAGTGGGTGTAAAGAGTGTGTGAAGTTTGAAAACTTAAGGGTATGACCACATATAACATTGTGAAAACTTAAGGGTAATACCACATTTAATATTTTGAAACCTTAAGGATACGACCACATCTAACATTATGAAAGCTTCAGGGTGCAGCCATATCTAACACTGTGAAAACGTAAGGGTATGACCACATCTAATGCTGTGAAAACCTAAGGGTATGACCACATATAATGCTGTGAAAAATTAAGGGTAAGACCACTTCTAGCACTGTGAAAACCAAAGGGAGCAGCGACATCCAACACTGTGCAAACTTAAGGGCACGAGTTCATCCAACACTGTGAAATTTTAAGGCTATGAATGACTACACTTAACACTGTGAAAACTTAAGGCTGTAAATGACCACATCAAACATTATGAAAACTTAAGGCTATGAATGACCACGTCTAATACTATGACAACTTAAGACTATGAATGACCACAAACGCGCCTCAGGATGTCTCGGTACACCATGTTGATTGTAGCTGTTATTCGATCTTTCACGCTTTCGATATTTGCTCGAAGTGATGGAACATAAACTTTGTCTTTAACGTACCCCTACAAATTTTATCACACACAGTGAAGTCCCGGGATCTGGTAGGCCAACTGCAGAGAGCGGGGTCTGTAGCACCTCTCCCACCAATCCACCGCTGATGCACGTTTTCATTCAGATAAGTTCGAACCCTGAGATGCCAATGTGGCGGTGCTCCATCTTGTTGAAAAAAAGGAAGTCATTCGATTCTGCGTGCAGTAAAATGAATAGACATTTCTTGTGAGGGCATGAGAAAGACAAAGTTTATGTTCCAACACTTCCAGCAAATACCAATGACATGAAAGATCGAATAACAGCTAAAAATCAACACAGTGAACTGAGACATCCTGAGGCGCGTTTGGGAGGAATGCTCATATCTGCTTGACGGTTTCCGTGCTGTCGGTGGTGGCCACATTAAGCATTTTTGAGGCATTGTGGTGAAATCAAACACTCGTAAAAATAATTAAATGAGATAAACGGGCATTTTCTGCAAGTTTGGACATTTTCGTCGAATTTCTATTTTCTGACTTAACATCTTTTTTGTCTAAATCTATATAAAAACACATTACATGTGAATTTTACTGAAAAACATTTATTAGAGGCCCAAACTATGTAATTTTTTACGTTTTCAAAGACTCTTTAGCTATTAGAGATACTAAACTTTGGCGGCCATTTTCTCGCTTATTTCCCAACTGAAACCAAGCAACCTCACTTCCTTCAAATGCAGATACCTTGAGTTGAGTTCTATTCAAGATAAATAGATATTTATTTCATTAGGAGCAAGGTAAATAAATCAGCTTTCAGGTAATACCAAAAACTCCACATGCCCAAATATTGACGAGCGCCTGATTCCACCGCGTCGTGACACATTTGTAAAACTTGAAATAAAAACTTGAAGGTATGTACTCCACATGTGTCCAAGCTGAAGTTTTCCATTGTTTTCCCTTTTTGAAATATCATGTGATGACTTTTGGCGTGTTCTTTTTTAATCACCCTGTATATCAGTTTGGTTCCGTAGTGGGGAAATGTATTATTAACAAGTGTCTTATCTCTTTGCTGGGCTGCTGTATCCAACACGAGCAGCGTTGGCCTCGACAAGTAGGATCAAAGTAGACTGACTTCTAAATTATCTAAATTGCGTCAACGGAGGCACAAGACATTTATTATCGACAACAACAGCAGTGTTTCCGTTGTTATTGTTGTTGTCGTTGTTGTCGTTGTTGTTGTTGTTATTGTTGTTGTTGTGTCTGTGTGTGTGTGTGTGTGTGTTTGTGTGTGTGTGTGTGTGTACGTGTGTGTGTACGTGTGTGGTAGCCTATCCGTTCGAAATGTTTGGAGCCCCGAAGAGCATGCTCTTCGTCAGGGTCACCGC